CTGTTGGCCCTGGCCCAAGCGTCCCAATGGCGATTCAGATCCTTCCAGTCTCATGTGCGCATGCATCCCACATTGGAAATGCTCCGGCACACAGGCATTCCGACGGGGGTCGCAAAATCGCTGACGCTGCTTGTCTGGCACAAGACCCGGCTACCGAAATTGGCTCAAAATGTGACTTGTAGATCTATAGAGGGGTTTGTTGGCGGGTAACCTCAACAGGGGCCCCAACCTTATTACAGTTCCATATGTTTTTGCAAGCAACCCCACACTTGTATAGATCTATATGCTTTTTTTGGTGGGCAACCCCAAACCCCCAAACTTGTATAGATCTATATGGTTTTCTCTGCGGGCGGCCCCAAACTTGTATAGATCTATATGGTTTTCTCTGCGGGCGGCCCCAAACTTGTATAGATCTATATGGTTTTCTCTGCGGGCGGCCCCAAACTTGTATAGATCTATATGGTTTTTTCTGGTGGACAGCCCAAAATTTATATAGATCTATATGGTTTTGCGTCCGTGCAACCCCAAACATATGTAGATCCATGCGGTCAAAACTTGTGGGGAAAACCGTGGCAGGGTTTACAAGTCAAGACGTCATCTTGTACGGGGCAAGCCAACAAGTGCGCGACACCGTCTCTAGCCGTGACACCCGTCTCAGAAAAAAATGAAACTTGTTTTGACACATTCCCAGATCTATCTATGTAGGGTGGTGTAAGCACGAAGCCGCAACTCCTCAAACCCCTCAAACCCTCGTTTTCTGCACCCCCGAAAGCGGCGTCAGCCCCGGCGTCCCAATTGCGCTCTCACTCACGTAGAGCTTAACAGCTCGGCCTGGCACAAACAATGTCTTCAGTCTCAAAAGGGCAATGAGCCACACAAAGCGCCTCAAGTCTCCAAGGATCGCGAGCTCCTCGAACGGGCCTGCAAAGCAGGGCATGAATGCTCGCTGGCTCCGCATCCCAGCTGACCTCCATGCTGGTTTTCATGCGCATGGTGTCTGCCATCTTCCACACCTGCTCGTTCCTGTAACTTGCGCACGTCGCCCAGCTCGGGTGCGCTTACGGTCGCGCCCAGCTCCCACCCTGCGCCCCGGCCGCAACAAAGTAGCAAACAAAAATTGCCATGAGAAGTCGAGTTTGGCCCTGAACAATGAGGCCCGCACGGCCACAATTGACCTTCCTGATCAATGAAGCCTTGCACGTAATGGCCACGTCCAGAGCTGTCCGGCTTGGCCGTGCCTGGGCGGGCCAGGGATGTGTCTACACGTGACAAATCTCCGCCTTGCGCTTGTGCGCCCGTGGGGCCTGCGCACAAGGATGTGGTGGGTCTCCCAAAGGCGAGAGGCAGCAAACCTTGCCTTGATGGGCTTGTCCACGTGTTGCACCAGAACCATCTTGGAGGGTCGGGCCTGCAAGGGACAGGGATCATGGTTATGCGCTGTGGCAACACCAGAGACACAAGAGAGATGTGACCACACCTCATCCGGCGGTGTCTTGCACACCTCATCCACTTCTGCCTCAAGCAGTATGCGTGTGTGTGCGTGTTGGCAAACTCTCGGCGCCTCTTCTTCTGAGCGGTCCTCCACAGCGTCCTGAACCTGGCGATGCAATTGTGACACGAGCATCAGATCTTCACTGAGGGCGAAGCGTCTGTCTGGGGGGGCAAACCATCCTGCAAGGCAAAGCTAATCTTTCAGTTTTGCAGGCACAACAGTGGCTGTCCTCCTGGTAAAGCCGAGCATGATCCCAAGTGCCATCGTGGCGCTGCACAAGCCAACCTGCCAGGAAAAAAACTGCAATAACCCATGTTCATTGACGCAGTGAGCATGCCTGAGACCGGCGGGAAGTACTCATTGGAAGTGTTCTTGAAGCAGCAGCGACCTGGCCGCGCAGTCAACAATGTGCCAAGGCAAGCTAAGTCAATCAGCTGCCTTCGTGGAGGATTCGCCAGCCCTTTGTTTTGTGCCAAGAGCAAACGGCGCCCGTCTCGGACTCCCACATGTGGCCCTGCAAGGCGCTATAGCTAGCGTGCCCACAAACACAAAAGACGCGAAACAGAGAAAGTGCGCAGACCTTTGAAGAGACTCTCACGGCATATGTGGCAGTTAGCTCTGCATGGTGTCTAAAATCTTGTTGGCGCCTTTGTGCGCCGCATGCCGTACATAAGGCCAGAGGCGTCAAACTGGATCCACTCCTCGTCCTAGCACGCGGGCGTGTCTAGTTTATAGGGGGAGGCGTGTCAAAGGGCACCAGTCCTTCTCGGAGACATCGCTGCTCAACATGAAATTCAGCACCTTCATGCTGAGTGCTAGACGGCCTACCTGCAAACAAATGCCAAAAGCTCAAAAAAGGAGCTGCGGCGGGCGCGCCGGGACAGCTGGACGATGTTCTCAACACACCCAAAAACAAACATCAGTGGCAAGGTGCTTGCTGCGTGCGCTATACACATGTCGCCCATTTCGTTTTGAAGCCTTCGCCATCTCAAGGGGAGATCTGAGACATGGGCTTGCCTCGCAAAAGGGGTTCGACTGTTTTCCGACAAAACTACAGTCACTGCAGTCAGGCTCACGAAATGGAATCAAGCACCTCTGGCGAGGGCATCTGTAGTGGCTGATGCTCAGCTGGGTCATTCTGCGTGGAACTCTTCTTCTTGCCTGCAATGGCCGCTAGCACTGCGGACTTCACGTATTCCAGGTTGGGCCCCGTGAGCTCGATCCAGAACTTCTGCTCGCCGATATTCTCCGTGAGAAGCCTCATCACGCGGCCCGGTGTGTCGGAGTTCACTTCGGGGACGGCAAGCTCAATGACTTCAGGCAGCAAATTTGCATAGCGGCGCGGCTGCGCCAACTTAGCCTTTTTGCGCCTGGGTGGCTGCTCAGCTCCATCATCGTCTGGCGGCCGCATTGCGTCAGCCATCAACTCATTGCACTTGTCTTGCCTGAGCTTTTTCAAATCCTCGAAGAATTTGGAGTTGCAGTCAGCTGAGCTGCCCTTCTTCTCCTTTTTGAGGTTGAGAGCTCTGGAGTGAACGAACTTGATGAGCCCGCGGTCCCACTTACTGATTTCAAACCACACTGCGCCATGCAGGCGCTTTTGTGTTGGCACCCGCACGGTTGGCTTTTGGGCGCCGTCGGCGTGGATCTTCACCACGGTCTGCAGCTCCAAATGCCACGCAGCGCCCTCCATTTAACCGCGATGTGGCCGCTGCTTGCGAGCAAAGTGTGAGCCCTGCAAGCGCAAATAGAAACGGCTGCAGTTGCTTGAGGGCGCGCGCAACACTTGAATGAGCAGCATCGCTTGATTGTGCAAGTGCAAGCATGAAAACGTCAAGACAACACAAGAAATCACCATGCAGGCCAAGACCGATGATTGCAGCAAGCGCGTTTGCGCTCGTGGTGCAAAACTGTCCTTGCTGCGACTTGGTGCATGGCCAAACCTGAGAAAAGCGCAACATGCGCCGCATCTCCAGAGAAGCCGGCAGCAAAACGTGGACTACGGTGAAAAACGGTGAATCACTTCTTCTGCCTCTTGGACGGAGCCACTGGGCCGGCTTCCCCCTTCTTGGCCTTCTTCTTGGGGCTTGGAAGCACAGGAGTGGAGCTCCACTTGGCAAACTTCAGCACGTCGCCCGCCTCCAACGCTTTGATATTCTTCAGGGTGGGGATTTGGATGTTGCTGTCATAGCTGCCTGCCACGTAAACTGCATGTTCGCTTCCTCTTCTGACTGCTGCACAAACCAGAAAGGGGCTACAAAGCCAGAGCCCTCGCCAGAAACCTTGGGCAGCACCGTGGTGGGCGACAACCAAAACACAACGCCATCCATGCCCGGGACCTTCACGGCCACAGCATCTGCTCCTGGAAGCAGGCCAACTTTGGCGTTCACCTTCAAGGAAGATGGGATGAGCTTCAGCTTCTTTGCGGGGATCTTTTCGGTGACGATGGCACGGCTTGGTCTGCAGCTTCAAGGCTGACAAGTGGTCCGTGCAGGTCTGGGACATGCTCAGCAACTCAGCAGCAATCAAGCCTTTGGCGCCTGCAATCTGAAAGTCAAGGCACTGGTGAGGGAGCAAAGACTCAAAGCCTTCCAAGACTGTGGGCTCTGGCTTGAGTTGGAACCTCTGCCATAGCCCTTCAAGAAACTCTTTCATGTCCACCTCGACAGTGGTGCCACCGGTCACCGTCAAGGACACCTTCTCCGCAATGGCCGAGATGATGCCTTGCAAGCCTTCCTTGCCATCCTTGCGCCTCACACTCTGGCCAACATGGAAGCCGAGCTCGCTGACAAGCTGCCCGGCTTTTTTGAGAGATCCATCCTCATTGAACTCACGCAGGGTTGTTCCTTGCAAGGAGGAAGCAGCTTCCCAGCGGCAGGGCATAGAGGTCTGAGTGAACCCCTGCAAGATCTGGACAACGTCGAAGGCAATGCCGTCCACGGACCGGTACGCCTTCTCCTCTTTGAACTTCAGCCCAAGCACGTGTGAAACCAAGGCGATGTCAAAGAAGCCCATGGCCTTCTCGCAGTTATAGTCCGAGCGCCATTTCTCCCCTGCGTTCTTGAGCAAAGCACGGACTTCATGCATGAGCTGCTCAGCCTCCAGAACTTTGGGGACGATGTTCTTGTTGCTGAATGCTTTCTTCACATCGTTGGCGTGGACATTGCGCCGGACGTACGCGGTCTTCAGGATGCCGTGGAGGAATCTTGGGCGCTGCTGCCCAGACTTGTGGTCCTGGCTTATGCACAGCCAGAGGTCGTCGCCTGGGGCTTGCCGGACACTGCGTTGGCGCGCACAAAGCGCTCGGTCTCCCCCAAATAGGCAGCCTTGACTCCGCCCGAATTCTTGAGGGCAAACGAATACATCGCTGGGATGCTGCTGGCGCAGGACGGCTTGCTCGCCAGAGCTTTTTTTTTCACCTCGAGGAAATCCACGGGGCCTCGCGCAGAGGCGGCCATGTAGAGCGTGTGCAAGCGATGCAGGACTTGCAACTCGTGCTCTCCTCGATTCAGCTGGGCGTTGCCCGCACGCTGAATGACATCTGCGAGCTGGGCAGCACCTGCAACGGCACCAAATCCCATTCCACACCCTGCACCGCAGCCTGGTGAAAGCAAGGGTCAGTCTTTTGCAGGGCTTCGAGGGACAGCTTGCCATTGAGGGTGACGGGGCCTTCTTCATGCTGCACGCCGTCCAAGAAGCACCTCAACATGAAGTTGGTATGGCCGCCGCATAGGCTGACCGCACGGAGGCTGTCGCCCTCCAAGACCCCAAGCGCGCCTCCTGCGGATGACACGAGGTCCTCGTTCCATTGCCGTTGCTCGCGGCCATCAATCTCTGTGGCTACTGCGTGAACCAAGGATGGCACAAACCCAACCTCGAGGACATCGTTGATGAGACTGTGCGCATCAAGGGCGTTGATGCCCAGCCCGTCTCTGTTGGAGGCGTGTATGCCCACTGCCTTTGGTGGAAGGCGCATGCGCTGCACCACATTGCAGCCTCGCAAGAGCTCAAGGACCTGCTCCCCAGCCTTCACGAGTCCGTCGCCCGCCTCAGCCCTGGCGAGCAACTGGCCAATACTGCGCTTGACATCATCAGTCAGCACCATGGCCTATATACAAACGCAGAAGCCGTCAAAGCAAAAAAACTCGAACTGAAAGCTGCTGCGCGTGTGTGCAAAGTGGCGAGAGCCAAACGAAACCATGCGAGCAAGCTCAAGGCCCTGCAAGCTAGCAAGCCATGTGTTCATGCGGCAGGCGTTACCCGTACCGTTATTGCACCCGGCAGCTCGCGCGTGCTTATGCTGCTCCATGCGGGCGAGATGCTCCGCTCAACCGAAGTCTGCACTCTTGCTTGGCCACGAGTGCAACCGTGCAAACATCTTTTTCAGCTTCCAAGGGGTTGTCTGTTGCTGATTCATCAACGCAGTCTTTGAAAGTTTCACGTTACGCGCGACGCAAAAACAACACTCGGCCACGCTTTTTCTTCGACATGGGCAGAGCAGCGCATATCATTCCTTCGAACTCAACATCCAAAAAGGCGTTTTCAAATGTGAGAAATTGCTCTTTCGTATGTGCAGATATTGCATTTATCAAGCTCGCTAACAACACATACGTAAGTCTTCCAACTGTGTTTGTATTCGATGTAAGTGGTTGATATGCAACGCATCTACATATCAACCACCACGCCCCTTCAAGCAACGATCATATGAGAGACCAGATGGCCGACACGCCGGCATGGCCTTGGCTGCCGGCGGGTACTTCGGCGTAAAGGCGCGGCGGTAGGACGTGGGACCAGCGTCGTCAGGGCGGCCAGGAGGACGCCTGTGGTGACTGCGGCTGCGAGACCGACGCCGATGAGGTTCCCGGTGTCTGGACCTTCTTCTCCGTCTGTGCTCCCGGAAATTACTGACACTCACCGTACGGACATGAGCATCCGGTTGTCTGAGGTGGCCACAAGAGTGACTGGTGCCGTCGAGTAATCCGGCCGAACTGATGTTGCCGGCATGGACGGCGGCGTCGTTGATGGCGGGGGTGGCGGCGGTGGTTGCCCGTCTGGTACGGTGGGGGTGGCGGCTGTGGATGCCGCTGCTGACCTTCAAGACGTTGTAGTCCGGCCAAAAGAATACTGATTTGCGACGAGATGGCAGGCAGCATATGCCGGCATTCTCGTAAAAGGTCCCCATGATCCATCCCAATGCAGGTGAAGGCTGGACAGAAAGGGCGAGTCAATCAGTAGTCAACTCAAACTGCGGCGTCAACAAGCAATACAACAAGCATGCAACAAACCGCACCAAGACATGAGCATCAAGCAACCCCACACGCTTTTTCCGGAAGAGGAGCGTCATGATGTACACCACGAAAGTCTGGGCACAAACCACGGTGGGCCAGTGCAAAAGGAGGTGTCGGACTGCATTGTCGTAGTCATTCACCAGAACATTCCCATGTAGCTGGGAACCGCAATTGATGAGCGGAGTTTCCACCTGCCATCTTTGGCGTGAATGCAGTCATAGTAGTGGGAAGCAGCTATGTCAGCGTACACTCCGCCACAGGGAATGGTGCAATGATTTTGCCGGAGTCTTGCAGTTCCACCAATGCACATGGGGCGATCAGTGTGTATTCCCGCGAACTGCGCTGCCGCCTTGACCGCCGCTTCATGAGATTGAAGGCTGCCTCTGCAGTAAAACCCCATCGGAGGCAACCACACTTCATTCCAATGTGTGCACTCGCGGTTGGGGGGAGGTTGCTCTTGCCATTTCGAGGGTCTGATCAGCTCTTCATCACGCAGGATGCTCATGGCCGCCTGCATATTGGTATTGTGGGCCCAGAAAAACGTCGACTGTGACTGTGCGCGATGCTTATCCGGCAACAATCGGCGTGGCACAAACGAGAAGATGATCCCAAAGAGGTTCTTCTGGGCGTTCTTTTTGTCTGGCGAGAGGTGGTGATACGTCCGTGTAGTCCTGCGAATATATGGCCATCCTTCTTCGCAAATGCCAAGCTGGACGATGAGTTGTGGCGGCAGGGATTTCGGGGAGATCTGGAAGTAGTTGGAAATCTCCCTGACCACTTGATCCGTCCAGGGTCCCGGGACACCATGGGGCAGCGGAGAAAATGGAAGCTCTGAAATGGGCTTCACCCGCTGCTCATCCTCGATGATGCTGCGGCGATGCGGCGTGAGGCTCCTGTAGACCGTCTCCCAGGATTTCTTCCACTGCTCAGGTTCAGGAAACACTAAGGCGGCAATGGAGGGCAAGGTGTAGTTCACCAGGATGGCAATTTCCTCGATCCGGCAGCCAGTGCGTAGCTTGAAGCGGTGACTGCCCAAATCAGGCACATGCTGGCGAACTGGGAGAGGAAGCAGCTCAATGTGGTTCTCGGGTGCTCTAACTTGAGTGGGAGGCAGTGTAGGCGAGCGGGGTCTCCTTTGATCATCATGAGCACGTCTCCCATCACTTTTCCATTCTCCCCAGTCTTCCTCATCATCCGACTTTCCCTGTGGGCCTGGGGTGAGCCTGATCCGAGAATGACGGGACCTGGGTGAGCGCGATCGTCTCCTTCCTGTGTGATTGCGCACCGCCCTGATGTTGGCCTCGGATCCGAGTGCTGGAGCATCACGGGAAGAGCTGTGGGCCTGTACACTGTGCTGGTGTACTAGTCCGTGTGTCCGGACAAACATTTGCATCTCATTGCCGTTGATGAAGTTTGGAAGGTGCTCCAGCGTCACCCGGCTCGTGGTTTGAACGGATCCGTCTGGGCGTAATAGACTGGTGACCGTGTACTCCGCCATGGTTTTGAGCCAGCTGCATGCAGACACATCGCAACACATCAACAACAATCACAAGCGCACACAATAAGTAACCAAGCAACAAGACCGCGTGCAGATTTTGTCCCGAGTCGACGCCGGACATCACGAAGGAGATGGGGATCGAAACCTTTGGCCTCATAAAGGCGCTTGAGGGCATTAAGTCCATGTTGTTGCTGAACCGCAGGTTGTGCACCACGTATGATGAGCCAAGAGCGAGAAGACCAAGAAGAGTAAGTAAACATCTGATCATTGGCACTCCGAATTCCTTTGATTTGAGAGGGATGATCAGGTAGCTGTGGTGTAATAGTTCTGGATGAAGAATCACATCGGTAACCCAGCACTTTGTCATCATGCTGAACCTCAAGCATCACTGGTGGGCGATAAAATTCCAGGGAAAGAAAATTCATGAGCACGGGCGAGTGTGGGGCAGAATCACGTAGTAGAATGAAACGATTGTCGACATAGCGCTCATGCCAGATCACACCGACATCGGGCATGCGAAAACGCAGAGAACAACTTGTTTGGTGCCAGAAGAAGTCCTCCACCGTGGCAACCAGATTGCAGAGCGGTGGTGCTGCTGGTGATCCCATAGCGACTCCACGTTCTTGCCGGAACAAGTAGCCATTGATCTCGAAGTGACTGTTGTCAATGACAAAGTCCAGAAGGTACCGGAGGTCTTGTTCACGAAAAGTTCGAGGGACCTTTGTTTGACGGCGCCATTTTCCTTTGAACATACGGCGTCGATGATCAGACTTCACTTCGTACACTGACCATTGAGAGGATCTGCGAAGGCCAACAACTTGATCGTAACGATGAAGAAGCACCTGTAGTGCCTGGTGGAAGCGTTCCGTAGGAATGGACGTGAAGAAGCCGGACAGGTCCTGAGACACCAGGTGGATGTATTCGGCGGGATCAGCCTTTGACAGTGCCTCCCACAGCTGCTGGACAAGTTCTTGTACTGAAAGTTGTCCTGGAATGTCGGGAAAAGTAACTTTGGTAAGTTCAAATATGAGGGCGCCGAAGACCGTGAGGAAGGGAGCTGCCCACGTGCGAAAGAATGAAATGATGGGTCTTGCTTTCTGCCAGTCCTTGGTCGGCTTTGGAAGAATGCGAGCTGTGGGCAATGGTGCTTGAAGTCGAAGTCCCCACGCATATCGCTGAAGTAGGAGGGTAGGTACCGTAGTGACCACTTCAGAGCGAAAAGATGCTGCGGATTCACGACATAGCGAAAAGACATCTCCCGAGCAAAAGGTCTTCTGCATCAGTATGGCAAACAATGAAGGGCAAATCACATGTGCACGAGAGGGGAAATGATCCGCGGGAATTACAACCCACGAGGACAGAGAAGCCACGGTTCGTTGCAGTGATGTCGATGACCAATAAGCACGATCTTGAAGGTTGGATTGATGGGTGTCCATCAATTGAGTCAAAACCGGCTGTAGATCAGTAAGAAGACTGGAGCCATGTACATGCCACCGACGAGCTAGTTTGCGAAGTTGTGTGGTGAAACGCTGATGCAACAAGTCAACATCACCGAAATACTGATCCTTCATAGACGCGGCCATGATATCCATGTCGATGTCCGCATTGATGCGTGAGAACTCATCTACCATTACAGCATGTTCATGCGCACGGTGTAGGTGGTGATCATCAATGTCCGAACAGCGACACGGAAAAGATGCTTCAGGAGTCCATCTGCGTTGCCATGCGCGGTAGTTGTAGATCCTGTCGCCCAAAGTGGCGCTGCGAGTTTCCACCACCCGGATCTTTGGAAGGAATAGGAAGGGAAACAAGTCACGATGAGAAGCGATCCAGCTTTGTAACCACGTGCCAAGTTGAGCTTTCCAATTCCGGACATGTAGAGGCGGTAGAAGTAGTTGTGTCAAAGTGCTGGGTGATTGTAGCTGTCGTTTGCGCAACACCTGGGCGAGGAGTTTCTGTGCCTTGGAGCGAAAGGGCTCGTTGACAAAGACGGAGAGTCGCAGAAAGTAGTAAAGCTGAGTGGGAGGAAAGGCCGCCGACAGTAGGTCACGCATGGCTTGGAACGATGCGCCTGTATTGGATCCCAGCTGATAGAGAATAGAGTAATGTGCTTGAATGTCATCCAACATGTCAGGTCGCAATTGCCGTTGAAGATCCGGATGTAGTCGTCGTCGAAAACGTTTGTGTAAACCGAGCGAGGTGGGAGACGACAACGAATGACGTCGAAAGTCAACGAGATGCTCCCGGAAGCCCACCTTTCGTAGAAGTCTATGTACCCAGGGCGCATTCAAATGCGGACGTAGCAGGTATTGCCACTTG